TTATTATTATTATTATTATTATTATTATTATTATTATTATTATTATTATTATTATTATTATTATTATTATTATTATTATTATTATTATTATTATTATTATTATTATTATTATTATTATTATTATTATTATTATTATTATTATTATTATTATTATTATTATTATTATTATTATTATTATTATTATTATTATTATTATTATTATTATTATTATTATTATTATTATTATTATTATTATTATTATTATTATTATTATTATTATTATTATTATTATTATTATTATTATTATTATTATTATTATTATTATTATTATTATTATTATTATTATTATTATTATTATTATTATTATTATTATTATTATTATTATTATTATTATTATTATTATTATTATTATTATTATTATTATTATTATTATTATTATTATTATTTAATAATATTTTTTAAAGAGAGGAGTACAATACCGAAATGCAAATCATGTTCACACGCTTTTTTTTTTTTTTTTCTTAAATTCTCTCTCCAAGTCATTATTCATATTAAACGAAATTGTTGTTTGTTTGAAAAAAAAAAAGAATCGGCCGGTTTTCGTGTTATTAATTTCAATTGAATACAATTACCGATAATAATAATAATAATAATGATGATGATGATGATGATTATAAAACGTGAAAACGTTTATACACTAACCGGTGATTTGTCGTTTTCACATTTTTTTTTCTTTTTCTTTTCTTTTCTTCTACGTTTTGATATTTATTGAGTATTTAAAATCAAGTACTGTTCTTCGAATACATAAAACAAATTTTATTTACACGAACGAAAAAAAAAAAATTACAAATTTTTTCTCCTGCCACGTTTAAATTATTTTTTTATTTTTACAATTTTTCATTACGTATCTATATATATATAAATAATTTACAACTCATCAAAGGAAAAAAAAAATAAAAGGGGGGGGGCGGGGCGCGCAAAATTTTATATTTACAAATAATGATAATGATAATAATGATAATGACGATGATAATAATAATAATCGAACGATTAAAGTCGGATTAAAAATAAATTTAAAATTATATATATAAAAAAAAAAAAAAATTTCAATTCGTTTACCATCATCGATATCATTAAATTTGATGATTTTAAATTTATTATTATTATTATTATTATTAATATTATTTTAAGTGAATAATGATAATTACGAATACCGTATCGATATAATTTTTTTTATTAACGGTAATAAATAAATAAATAAAAATAATTTTATAGTCGGTGATTCTTTTGCCAACGAAAAGGGAAAACATTCGTCGGATGATGAACAAAAAAAAAAAATTAACGTGGTAGATAAGTGGTCGTGGTGATAAGAAAACGAGTGATAAAATTTAGGGCATAAGGTAATAAAAAGAGAGAGAGAGAGAGAGAGGGAAACTCGTTTCGAAAAATAAAAAATTTAATCCATCAACACCGATTAAAATCAAAATCCAAAAAAAAAAATTCTTCTTCTGTTGTCTGATATAAAAATATTCGATCGAATTATAATCAAAGAGATGATGTTGATGATGATGATGATAATGATAATGATAATAACGATGAATATTGGACTCGGATACATAATTCAAATTAATACACGAAAATCATTCAAGGTATTTGAAACTATTCGTTGGATAAACAACAACAACAACCATCACGATAATTTTACGAAAATTTTTTTTTATAATAATAATAATAATAATAATAATAATAATATGACGAGTTTATATTAAAAAAAAAAACCGGCTTCCGAATGGGAAAATGGGTGGTTACGTTTATGTGCTTCTGTCTCTAAATCAGAGAGAGAGAGAGAAAGAGTGTACCACCACCATCGTGCATACCATCGTGCGCGATCGCAACTTTATTTACGAGAGTACCAAAAAAAAAAAAAAAATTTTTTTCAAATGCACGTTTTTTGTGTTAAAAGTAAGGCGTGCGCGAGATTATCAAGTGGTCCAGAATAATAATAATAATAATAATGATAATAAACTCGAAATCCGTGATCACGAATCGGTCATATTTAACACACAACGACGACGCCATCATCATCATCATCATCATCATCCATGCGTGGCATCGCATCTTTTTTTTTTTTTGGTTGGAATTTAACACGTTTGTAAAAAAAAAAACTTAAATATTTTTTTCGAGTTTAAAAGAGTAGAAGCAGAAGACAAAAATAGACAAAAGTAGAAGGACTAATTAATAATAATAATGATAATGATAATAAAGGAAAAAAGCAACATTTTAAAAGATTGATGTGTGATGAGGATCGTTATAGATATTATACCTGACTCGATCTCCAGCTACCGAACCTGACCCTAAAATTGATTTAACTGACGCGTTTTTCCTGTCAGTTTAATTACCTTAATGAAGTGCCCACTACCATCATCCACCACCACCACCACTGCCACTACTACCACGTTTCTCTTCCTCCCTCCTTCCTTTCCTTTTTTTGTTAATTCATTACAAAACGCGTACGTCTACTTCCCGTCCGACCGACGAACGAACGAACTTTATTTAATTATTATCATTATCATTTTATACTTATAATAATAATAATAATAATTTATCGAGATCATATATATTTATATATACATACATTTTTTTTTTATGTACAACTTATTATTATTATTATTAACACGATCACTCGAGTTCTTCGTCGTCTTCATCATTCGTCTCGACGTCATCTTCATCATCGTGTAATGATAAAATATTTGACGAATCTTCTTCGCTCCCGGAATCGTGAACTCGTTTTAAATTTTTTCCAGAAGATTCATTTATCAGTGGTGCCAACGTTTGATTTGTTGCGTAACAAGACGTGCAAAAACCGTGTGTGATTTGATTCGATGACGAAAGGTAAACTTTTCCACATCGAACGCATTCTTCTTGAGGATCACCTGTTGTTGCAAACAGAAAAAAAACGTTATCGATCCGAACATTCTAGAAATCGATAAAAAAATTAATCGTGGATATTTTTACAAAACCATAAATAAAATGAATCACACGTGAAATATTCATTTTACCCAAAGGCTCGTACCTGTATGTGACGTACGTATAGATTTTTTCTAGAAAACTATGAGAAAATTTTTTTTTGACCTTTAAACTTATTCTTTCCCCCCTCCCCTTTTTATAAGTTATAATAAAATCATTCGAAACTACACGTATTATTATTATTATTACCTATTGGAATTTGCTAAATTTTCTTTATTTTATTTAAGACCTCCCCCCCGCCTGAAGGCAAGAAAAAAATAAAAAAATGTGACTCGTTAAAACCACAAATTACGTGAATTATATTTTTTGTCATTTAATTTATAAAAGGTTGTTGCGAGACGGTCGGTCACGTAGTCGAGTTGATCACAGTCATCCAACATTTAACAACCCGAGGCATCTTCGACATTATATTAATCATTAACCCTCAATTTACCACCAAAAAATTTTTTCTTCTTCTTCTTTTTCTTCTTTAGAAACCATTTTGTCTTCCTCCACGGAAAAAAAAAATTTTTTTTTTTTAAAACCCGGAAAAATTAAATGATGTTATCGATAACCGACCATTATTTTTTTAATAATAATAATAGGAATGAGAAAAATTTTTTTTTCGTACGTGGCACCAGATTAAAAATTTTTTTTTTTTAAATTTCGACCGATACGTCTGTATCTGTCTGTAGTGTTTGTATCTGTCTTTTCGCTCAACTAACCATCCCAACAACAACCAATTATTATTATTATTATTATTATTATTATTATTATTATTATTATTATTATTATTATTATTATTATTATTACTTAATTTTTAATTGGTATTTAAACGAGAAAAAAAAATTGTGACGTTATCAAATGATAGATGACGTAATAAAGTTTTTTTTTTTTATCTGGATGTGAGTTTGACGTCTTACAGGTAGGTCGTAAAAGGTGAACTAATAAATTTTGATTAAGCACCACCACCGACGTCGCCACCCCCACCCCCACCACCACATAATGGACGATTTTTAAAATAAAAAAAATCCTAAAAATGACAAAAAATCGAAAGGTACCATTTTACCCGACGGATAATGATACCCGTTTGAAAAATAATAATAATAATAACAGCAGTAAAAATAATTTTTTTTTTATATTTTGGAGTGATGTTGCTCCCCCCATTTTTAATTTAATTTGTATTTTCGCGTTCCTCTCTCTCTGTTTCTCTCTCCCTTCTTTCTCTCTCTCTCTCTCTCTCTCTCTCTCTCTCTCTCTCTGTGTAACTTTTCTTCATGATACAGTTTTCCAGCGAAAATAATAATAATAAAATTTCGTCAAATAATTTTTTTATGGATTTCAAAAAAAAAGTTTTAAATTTATCGAATTCGAATTCGTTCACGCACTCACGCACTCACTCACGCACCTAATAAGATTATCTATCTATCTACAACCACAACCACAATCAGAACAACAACCAGAACAATCTAACGTCACGCACGTAATAAAAATTGATTGACGTTAAACATGGTGATGGTGGTGGTGGGTGACCTTTGAATATATTTTTTCACTCACTCTATTACAACTGCAAATTCTATCAATACGAAATAACAAATAATTTTTGAGTGACGTCAATTAATAACAAAAAGAAACGAGAAAATCAATAATAATAATAATAATAATAATAATGATAAGATTTAAAAATAGTTTCGAACGAACGGATGTAACAATCATTTAAATTTTATTCGTTTAATTATATTTGAAAAGTTCACCTACCGCGCGATGGAATACGAAAAAAAAAAAAAAATTGATAGATGTAGAAAAAAAAACCGGTGGGTTTAGTAAGAGACGAGAGACGTTAAGTTGGTACCCGTGCGTTACGGTAACCATTCGAGAAAAAATTTATTTATTTCTCACCTTCGTGCGTTTTCATGTGCGCTCTTAAATTACAAGCCAATGCGAATTTTTTATGACATAATTCGCAAGAATGTGGTTTGTCACCTGAAAACAAAAAACAATCGATTAATCGATATTATTATCATTATTATCATCATTATTATTATTTTTAAAAAAAACCGTTAAATTTTTTTTTTTTTTAATTTAATCGTCTAAGAAAACCTTATGGCATTTCCTTTTTAACAACCTTTTTTGTTTTTTGTTGTTGTTGTTATTATTTATGAACATTAAAGGTACGGAAAAGAAACAAACAACAAACAAACAGGTGAAAAACAAAACAAATAATAATGATGACTCGTGCCCGTGCAACACGCTTTTCTATGTTTTTTTTTTTTTAATTTAATGTTTGTAACCCTTAAAAAATTTCTTCTTCTTCTTATTTTAATCCTTTTTCGAGACATGTGTTCCCTTTGTGATTAATTATTTATTTATTCACGTATTGTACGTAAAATAAATAAATAAATAATGTTACGTAATTTATTATTATTATTATTAATAATTTTTAAATTTATGTAAATGAAAAAAAAAAAAAATTATGTTTTCTATGTTATGTTCATGTTCGCTGGTGGGCTTTTGTTGTTCTTTAAATAAAACATTAATCAATTTATTAATTTAAAAAAAAAATGACGCGATTCGTTAATAATAATCAATAATTCGTTTTCTTCTGCTTAAAAAAAATTTAAATTTAAATTTAAAAAATTGGCGGGAAAAAATTTAAAGAGTAAGAATTAAGGAGAGTGAGAGTAAAAGAATTTTGAAGAGGTTTCGTGAATTTTCCTTTTTTTTTTTTTTTTCTTTTAAAGTCAATTGACACGATTAAAAAAAAGGTTCGTTTGTCGTGTCAATATGTAATGAAAAAGGCTTTTTTTTTATAACCTTTTTTTTCCTGTAATAAAAATCAGGTGAATTTAAAAAAAAAAAAAAAATTTTTAATTTTAATTTTAAATGACGAAAAAAGAAAAATTATTCTTATAAGAAGACGGATGTATTAATGGGAAAAAAGACGTAAAAAGTATTCTTTTTATAAGTAAATAAATGTTATTATTTTCCGTACAGGTGAAGTTTTTTTTATCGTTCACCTGCCGAAGAGATGCGATTTAAAGATATTAAAAAAAAAAATTTAACCGTCAAAAAAATCGGTAGAACCCGCTGAGGGTAGAAGAAGAAAATTTCAAAAAAAACCATTTTATTTACACCCCCTCTTCCTCCCCTTCGTATCATTTTTATCAGTAAAAATAATAAATAAATCCTTAATTTTTTTTTTTTTTTTAGCTTAAAAAAGATAATTAATCGCATTTTTTTTTTTTGTTTTCTTCTCATTTTCGCTTATGGCTAATCCGATCGATCGATACCTGTAAACAAAAAGGAAAGGAAAAAAAGGAAGAAAAAGGCACCTGCTTAAAAAAAAGGCGTAACTGACATTAATTTCTTTTTTTTTTTAATTAAAAAAAAGTTTATTTTATTCTTTCATTTTTTCCTTTTTCAAAAACGCTAAAAAAATTTTTGTTCTAAAGCCACGACGTTTTCGTTAAAAATCATCAAATCCGAAATTATTTATGAAATGGCGAACTATGTGGACTTTATAATAATAATAATAATTTTTAACCCATCCGAAAAGTAAAAAGCAGGTGCCGCAAATGTTTTTTCGTTTTTTTTTTTTCATCATTTATTATTATTATTATTATTATCATCATTATTTTATATAAAAAACGTGACAAATTTCCAATGTAAAATTATTATTATTATTATTATCATCATCATCACCGCAGGTTTTTTATTTTGACTTGTCAATTTTTTTTTCGTAAAGGAAACGTGTAAATAAAAAAAAAATTTTTTTCGTTTGTCCTCCTCCTCGCCCGGGCCCGACTGAAAATGTGATTTTCTTTGTGTTTTGGGGGGGAGGGGGACAGCTGCATCGGAACCTGATCAAAAAGGTATTAAAAGTTGTAGAATTTCAAGTTGTCTAAAAAAAAATGAGTCCTTACGTTTGTTGTTGGTTACTTTATTAAAAAGTAGTTTCAATGCATTTTTTTTTTTTTAATATAATTTTAGATTATCTTATTTCGAAAGGTCTCTCTCTCTCTCTCTCTCTCTCTCTCTCTCTCTCTCTTCCTCTCTCTTTCTCTTTCTTTTTTTTTCTATTTTTTTCATTTACAATGCATTATAACGGATTTTTTTTTCGGGTAATTTATCGAATGGTAAAAAAAAAAAAAATTACCGGTAATTTATCAAAAAATTAAAAAAAAAAAGGTTCGGGATCGATTAAGGGCAGTACAAAAATTTTCTTTGTTTTATTATTATTATTATTATTATTATTATTATGGTTTTGACCCACCGAAAATTTACTCCAATCGTTTTTTATAAAAATTTCAATTGAAAAATTTAAAAGGAAAGAAAAAAGGTTCGAAAAATTTTCCGACGATGATGATGATGATGATGATGATGATGTTATTAAATATCACGTGGAAAAATTTTAGAAATTATTCAGAAAAATATGGAAAATCCATTTTAATGATTGAGTTTTAAAAAGGTTTTCGTGTCAACGTCATCGTAAAAGGTTTACTAATTTTTAATAATAATAATAATGACGATGACGATGATGATTATAATGATGATGATAATGATGATGATGATGATAATGATGATGATGATACGTACACATCGAGCGAATTTTTTTTTTAAATTTAAGTCAAAAGTTGAGTTAAAAACAGGAAAAATTCAACCTTTTTTCTTTTTCATCATCTTCATCATAATCACCAAAACCATTGTTATCATTATTATCATATCATTATCATTATCATCGTCATCATTGTCATCATCAGAAACAAAATAAACAATCGAATAAATTTAAAAACGATATTTAATTAAATAAAAATTCGAGATGTAAGAAGATGGTGTCGGAAAATTAACCGGAAAACATTTTAATTAATTACTTCTCGTGTTCATTTTTTTTTTATTACTTTTTATTGTCGTCGTACCTGTACGGTTGTTACATTGGTTTCTTTTGTTTCGGTTAATAATTCGTTTGACGGTAAAAACAAACAAACAAACAAAAACACTTTAATCAAATGAAAAAAAAATTTTTATAATAAAAAAATATTTGATTCGAAATTAAAAAAAAAAAAAAAAAACGGAAAAATTTTTTGTTGTCGTTTGTTGCGAACGTTAACAAACGTTTCGCAGCCGGTTGTTTAGTATGATAACGGATTAAGGGAACGGTAAAATACGTTCGATAAAAAAAAATTAATTAAAAAAAACGAAACGAAATGCAAGCGGATAATGTCGTGATACGAATAAATATTCACAACAACCACAACAACAACAACAACAACTACAACCGGCTTCTTGTATTCATTCTGCCTCCTTTACTTAACCATTAATTATTAAACTCAGTTAATAAATTAAATGAAATGAGTGGAAGGCCTGGAAAAGATGAGCAAAAACCGTTTCGAGAAAGAGAAAATTGTATTAAATTATTAGAAAGCCTCTCAGATGAAATCTTTTTTGAAAATTAATTATGACCTTTTAAAATTATTATTATTATCATCATCATTATCATCATCATTCATTCTCTTCTTACAATGCATTATTTAAAACTTTTTACGTGCGTTTTTTTTTTTTTGTGGTGAGAGAAATAAAAAAAAAAAAAAAAAACTTTTTAATAAGAATTTTATTTTTATTCATTCATCTTCGAATTCATTCATGATAATTACGAGGGAGGATGGGGGGGTGGAAGGGTTTAGATGGGGAGACATTTTTATAATTTTGACCTATCGGGTAATTAATTTTCAGGGTCGATCGAGGGGGAAAGAGGGAGGAAAAAAAAGATGAAAAAGGGTCAAAAGAATAAAAAAAATTTAATTATTATTAATTTTTTTCCTTTGTTTGTCTGTTTGTTTGTTTATGAATTAGGGGGAAGGAAAAAAAAAATTTTAGATTTTTTTTTCGGTATCGAAAAAGGGTAGGAAAATGCGCGTTTTGTGCGTGCGCGTGTGCGTTTTTTACGAGTCCCCTGCTCTTTGTTTGTCTCGTCGGTCAAAAGTTTACATTAAGTTTATTATTATTATTATTATTATTATTATTATTATTATTATTATTATTATTATTATTTAATTCGTGTTAAATTAAAAATTATGGTAGCACGTAAAAAACATAATTAAAATTGTTGTTGTTGTTTTCGTTTGTTTAATGTTTGTTCCTTGTTTTTTTTTTTTTTTCCACGAGAGTATTTTAAACGCGTTTTCAATCTTACACGCACATACATAACACATGTAAAGTTTTTTTTTTTTTTTTTTATGATTTATTATGGCAGAAACAAAAAAAAAAATGTTTTGTTGTTTGTTGTACGGTCCCGTCGATCTTGTTCGAAAAATTCTAAACATAATTCTAAACATGAAATTTTAAAAGGTAGTAACAAACACGAACCACGCGTCGTCGTCGTCGTCGTCGTCGTCGACGACGTCGTCCGAATCCGGATATTCCCATTGGATTCCATTAAAAAAATAAACAAAGGAATAAAATCATGTCCGCGACCGGTAATTGATTACGTCGAATATGACGATGCAAAAATTTCTTCAAAATTTATTTACTTTGTTTAATATCATACATTGTTTAATAAAACAAACGTTCGTACAACCACAACCACAACCACGCACGCAAGCAAGCAAACAAACAAACAAACGCATCGTTTATGATTTATTAGATTTTATTATTATATAATTTTTTTAATTTTTTTTCTCTCTCGCATCGAATTATTATTATTATTTTTATTAATAAAATACTTGTCCGCCATTTTGTATTTTTACACTTTTAATATATCATTACGCTAATAATAATAATGATAATGATAATAAATGTGCAACCGTTATCAATAACGGTTTTAATATTATTATTTTTCGGTATAAAAATTAATAACCGTGAGAAAAATAAATTTAATTATTATTATTATATCGATAGCATAATCGATTTATTATTATTATTATTATTATTAATAAGACAAACAAACAAAAAACTTACCGGTGTGTAAGAATAAATGATTTTTTAAATTAGTATGTTTGCTAAATCCTCTATTACAAATGTGACATTTAAAAGGCCAAGAACCGTTGTGAACGTACATGTGGGATTTGAGATCTCCTGGAGTCGGAAATGATTTTGCACAAAGAGTGCATTTGTGTGGTTTTTCCTGGAACAAACAAACAAACAAACACGCGAATGAAATCAAAAACTAAAAAAAAATTTGACGTTAATCGTCGAGTAAGACGATAATCGATGAGGACGACGAAGAGGACGATGAGGACGAAGACGACCACCACCGATGTTTTCCAGTACAAATTTCTAGAATATTCCAAAAAAAAAAAAAATTTTGGATTTATATCGAAACGATGCGGAATTTTCGTTTTTAAAGTTTATATTACCTGTCAGAAATTTTTTTTTTTTTCTCCAAAAAAAAAAAAACTAAAACTAAAACTAAAACTAAAACTAATGGTTGCATTGCATGTTTCGCTGGACTCTGGATTTATATTTTTTAAATTGATATTATCCTAAACTTTAACCTGAGTTTAAAATAATAAAACCTGAACCCGATCCTGACTAAAAAACCGTCGTATAAAAAAATTTTTTTTTTTTTCTGGTTTTGTGTTGCTTTTTTAACAACAACAAACAACAAACAACCGCCGAATGATTTAATGCGACAAATAATTTTATTTGACACTCGAAACTGACATAAAATTTTTTTTTTTATTTATTTATTTATTCAATGATTGAATGATTAAATTAATAATGATGATGATGATGATGATGATGAAGTTATGAAAATATTCTCCATTCCTTTTTATTTTTTTCCATCTTTGTTTATTAATTTTTCCTCTCTCTCTCTCTCTCTTTTTTCTCTCCAGTTTCTCCAACGAAAGTTTTTACAAATTCTCTTACAAAAAAAAGCAGAAGATTTTTAAAGTAAATCATTTCGCTTTAAAATCTCTTCTAAAAATAGTAATAGATGAAGATGATGATAATAATAATGATGATAATAATGATGATGATAATGATAATGATAATAATATTAAAAAAGGAATGAGAGAGAGAAAAAAACCTGACGGGTAACGGCCATTAAATAACGATTTCGAATTTTTTTTTTTTTTTTCGTATGCAAAGGTTTTTTTTTTTTGTCCTAAACCCAACAAACAAACAAACGAACAAACGATATGAACAACAACATAATATTTGTCGGACGTCATTTAATTTAAAAGGATTTTCTATAAAAAAAATTAAAAATCGAATCGATTTTTTAAAAAAAAAAAATAAAAATAAATTTAAAATTTTAACGATGAGAAATTTCCAGAACGTTTGTTTATGGAATCAAATCATTCAAGGTCGAAAGTCATAAAAAAAAAAAAAATTCTAGAAATTTCTGTGACGGTAACAACAACAACAACAACATATGTAAAGCACAAATAAGTAAAAAAAAAAAATTAACTTGTCGTATAACCCGAATGTTTTTTTATTCATTTGTCCAAAAAAAAATTTACATTTGGATTATTATTATTGTTATTATTATTAAACCTTCGACACGTCATTATTATTATTTTTCTATTGACACGTCTGAAAAGCATTTTCTATTAAAAAAAAGGGGTAAAATAAAATAAATCCTTGGAATTTTTAAATTTAATTTTTTTTTTTTATATCAAACCTGCCACGATTTTTTTACTTCTCTTTTCTTTTTCTTTCTAGAACGTTCTTTAGGTTTTTTTTATATTAAAAATGGTTTTATTTATTTATTTATTTTTGTTTTAAACCGTGGAAATAATTAAATTTTATTTATGTATATAAAAAAAAAGGTTTAAAAAAGGTGTAAAATTAAAATTAAAATAAAAAGCACCTGCATCGAAAAAACTTTTTGGTTTCTTATTTAATTCGAATAATAATAATAAATGTTTTGGTTTGTTAGTGCCACGTCTTTTAATTGTGCTCGTGTAAATAACAAACACGAATTAAAAATTAATAAATAATTTTTTTAAATATTATTCCATAAGAAAATTTTCAAGGGTAAAAAAAAAATTTTTAAAACAACGACGAGAAGAAGAAGAAGAAGGAGAGGTAAAAGACCTGGAAAATTTTTTTTTTTTTTTTATTTGCTGGAAATTAAAAAGAATTAATGAATGCAACAACATGGAGGAGAAACAAAAAAAAAAAAAAAGAAACAGAAAAAAAAAAGAAACAAGGTAATAAAGTCTGGGAAAAACAAATTTTTATTTTAGCAATTAAACAAACAACTTGTTTTTATTTTTTTTCGCTTATCCCCCTTCCCCTCCCACTCCCCCTCTACTCACCTCCCCCTCTTCACCCATTTCCCTCTCTCTCTCTCTCATCGTGTCTTTACCTTTTTTTCTTTTATTTTTTTTTTTATATGGAACAATTATCTCTCGAATAGTCGCAATAAAAACTATCACAAGGTAGTAAAAAAAAAATTCTTTTTCGTTACCAATAATAATAATGATGATAATGATGATGATAATAAAAAAAAAGGGTTCCCACAGTAAATTTTTTTTTTTACAACCGATTTCTATGATTTTTTGAACGCACAACCAATAAAGAACACACAACATTCCAAATTCGAAAAATACTAAAAAATTTTATTCCGTTTCCGGTTTTCGTATAAAACAAATAAATATTATTATTATTATTATTATTAATAAATTTTTTCCAGAATTTTTTTTTTCCCAGTAAATTTCTCTCTTAAATCAATTGGGGGATGGTAAATTCCGAACCCTAAAAAAAAAAATATTCGAACCGTAACTAACGAATTTAATAATAATAATAATAAATTTCTTTTTGTTTTTCTTCAGCCCCTCCTTTTCCCTCCACTTCCCATCTTCTCCAATTATCAAGTTTCTTACATTAACTTCCGTATTATCACGCTCGACAAATTTTTTCAACACATTCGTTCGCAATTAATTTTTACGATCGATTAAAAATAAAAACAACAAACACAACAACAACAACAACAACGACAACCTTCATCCATTTTGAAAATAAATAATTCCAGTTTTGGAAAAAAATAATTATAAAAAATTCTTTAAAAAAAAAAAAAACTCGATGAAAGATAGTAAATTGAGTCTTATTGGAAAATTAAAATAAAATAAAATTTAAAACTCATTTCACTAAAAAAAAAAAAAAAGAACGTGGAATCAGATAAAAAAAAAAATTTCATATATATATACATAAAATGATAAAACGTCAAATATTTAAAAAAAAAAAAAAAACCATAACAACAACAACAAACAACAACCGATTCTGATCGCTTTGCGACAGGTTCAGGGGACCCTTTTACTAAATTTATATCAACTCATTAAATTTATTATTATTATTATTATTATTATTATTATTATTATTATTATTATTATTATTATTATTATTATTATTATTATTATTATTAAAAACTTTATTTTGTTTTCGGGAGAAAAAAAATTCCCTGACGCCCCCCCCGCTCCCACTCCCGCCCTTGCCCGCCCTCCCCATTTTGCCCTTTTGATCTAATCGATCGATCCATCGATTTTTTCATATTTAAAAATTATTATCATTATTATTATTTCGCAGTGTAAATACGCCCGCGTTTTTTCATCATCTTCTTCTTCTTTTTCTTCGTTTGTTTATGGCGTTTTGACGCTTAAAAAACGCGCGTTTTTTCTCGAAATAAATATTTCGAAAGAATCGTCAGACTCGTCGGATAAAAATTCTAAGAAAAATAATAAATTACGCGCGCGTAAACTAAAACTAATTTAGATGTCGGGTAAAAAGAAAAAAAAAAAATTTTCAACGGAGCATCTATCATTCTTAAAATAAGAGCGAGATGTTAATAATAATAATAATAATAATAATAATAATAATAATAATAATAAAAGTCATAAAGTTCGTTATGGTCAAACACATAAACTCTTCACATATTATCATTATCATTATCATCATTATTATTATTATTTTCTTTTCTTTCGATGATCTCTTAATAAATTTTTTTCTTTTTTCTCATAAAGGTCTGGAGGATTTTTTTTTTTTTTTTCATTTCGTTCAGACAAAACAAATTCCTCTCCCCTTCTTCCTCCCTCCCCCGATCATTGTTTTTATCGTGGAATTAAAAAAAAAAAGGAAAAAAACCGCCATTTTCCATTTAAACAAAGAATTAATATCATTATCATAATCGTTATCAAATCGAATTGTTTATCAATTTTTCCTCTTCTCCATTTATTCTTCCTACCTACAAAGTCGGTTCGTTTTAAATAATAATAATAATAATAATAATAATAATAATAATAATAATAATAATAATAATAATAATTAAAGGCTAACAGGTAATTTTAAAAAAATTCTATTGTTAAAGTCAAGGATTTTTAAAATTCACTTCTGCTATTGTTTACTTTTTTTTTTTTACTGTTTACCATATGTCCCCCCACAAAAAAAAAAAAAAATTGAATTACAATAATTTGCTAAAAACTTTTTAAGCCATCATCATTATCATTATCATCGTAATTTGTTCAGTTTCTGGACTTTATTCGTTAGCCGATGTGTGAGAAAAAAACATATTATCATTATTATTATTATTATTATTATTATTATTATTATTATCATCGTGGAATTATTATTTTAAAAAAATTTCCTCGTGTGTTTTTTCTTTGTGAAAAGATTATTAGAATTCGTTTTATTTATTTCCTTCCTTACTTCCTTACTTACTTCATCCCTTCTTTTCATCCCTCAACGATTAATAATAATAATAATGTCTTTTAATTTTCTTTTCCAGTCGGGTTAACGAATGATCGGTATTAATTTATTATCATTATTATTTTTTTTCCTTTCCAAATGTCAAACACTTCGACCATATCGTCTTCGTCGTCGCCCTCATCGTCTTTGCTTATGTTTTCTGCGGTTTTTTTAATAATGATGATAATAATAATAATGATGATGATGGGAAATATTTTAGGATGGGGTTGGGGGGAGAAAAGTGTTCGACCAAAACAATTTTTTTTTCTTTCCCCTTTTCTAGAAATGAACAGGAAACACCTCGAAAAGAAAATAGACATAAGGTCACGAAATTCGTTTGTTGTTGTTTGCGTTTGTACCTACGCACGCGCGTTTGTTTCTTTTTTTTTTTTTATTAAGAAAGAAAGAATGAAAAAGGAAGTTTCCCAGCCCACTTAATATTCCCGGAGGGTTGTTCGGAAACAAAGAAACGCGGGAGATTATTGTCTGTGAGTTTGTTGGCGAACCGTGACGAAGGAAGTAAATAATAATAATAATATTACGAAACAGGAAACGCAGCAGATGGCAAGGTACAAGAAAGTATAAACGCACATTTTTTACAATATGATGATTAAAAAGAAAAATTCCGGCCGCGAAAATATCTCCGTACGATGATGACGATGACGATTAAAAACTTTGGACCTGGTTGGACTTTCCCACCCCCTCCACCTTCACCCCTTCCGCATTTGCATGTCGACCCTTAAGGAAATGAGAGAGAGAGAGAGAAAAAAAACGCGACGGCGTAAAACCGTCACATACACGCCGCGTAATAAATCCGACTACGCATAAAAACAAAAAATTCTCACGGGCGTAATTTAATGTGGGCATATAATTGGTTTGATATTAATAATAATAATAAAAATCAATAATTAATCGATAAATAATAATAATAATAATAATAAAATCAATATTTGTGTCTTTTTATCCGATATTATTATCATTATTATCGTTAATATAATTTTTTTTTTTTTTTGGTTATTACGAACGACAACCGGATGCTATGAAATTTTCCAAATACGGTCCCACAAATTTTTTATATCTGTTCTTTCATTCAATATGGCGACCTTAATCGGTAACCGGGGGAGGAGAAGGGAGGGAGGAAATCACCTTTTGGCAAATCCTTATCATTATTATTATTAATACGACCATTATCAAAAAAAATAAAAAAGTTTTTTTAAGAATCGAACTGGAAAATCACTCGAAGCATTTTTTCTTTTTTTTTCGTTTTTACCGTTTTAAAAAATTTTAAAAACGGGAAGAGAAGGAGGGAGGGGAAAGGGGGAGAAAACAGGAGCAGACGATATTAAATTAATTTCAATTAATTAATTAATTTATCACCTGAAAAATAAAGAGATGTTTTTGTTTTAAGAAAAAGAGAAAGAAAAGAAAATAATTAAAATCATTTCATTCATTTAAAATGAGAGTAAAAAAAAAAAAAGAAGCTGCTGAAGATGCTGGAGATGCTGGATATGCCTTTGGGAATAATAATAATAACAACAAGTAGTTGAGATATCGGTAGCACATCAGATAAGGATAACAACCATGCGATAGAACTTAAAAAGCCTTTTTTATTAAAAATTATTAAATTTAAAAAGCTGTTATGCGGTCATAACGTAAACACGGGCGAGATTAGTTTTTTTAAATTAAAAAAAATTTGATTTTGATTTTCTTTTTTCTTCTTACGCGTAATTGGTTTTTTTTTCTCTCTCTCTCTCTCTCTCTCTCGATGATTTCCAAAATGAAATATAGTATAATTTTTTAATTACTTGTTTAGCTTAGAATAAAAATTTTTTACGCCCCCCCCTGCCCCCCGCCGTCGACGCCACCGCCACTTCCAGATCCAGCGTAATAATCATACGTTTTTATATACGATTCTATTCGGTCAAAAACTTCGCCCTCGTTTTTTTTTTCTATCCAAAAATTAGAAAAAATTATTAATAATAATAGATTCGCGTTTAATTAAAAAAAATCAATCAATCAATCAATCGACGAACTCATCTTTGTGATGATGACGATGATTCAATTTTTTTTCCAGGAAATATTATTCAAAACTAACAATTTTTTGAATTCCAAATTATCGAACTGGAAAAAAAAAAAATTTTAATTTCGGGTTAATTTTAAATCGTTGATAATTATTTAATTTTTCCATAATAATTCTGGACAATTCTGGAATTTTTTTTTATTTTCTCCTTCAAAAAAAAAAATTCACTCGAGTAAGAAAAAAAAATTTACAAGTCGATTCGCATCCTCTCTCTCTCTCTCTTTCTCTCTCCCCCCTCCGCCTACGTTTAATTAATTAAATTAATAATAATAATAATGATTATAATTATTCTCATACACTGGAATGATAATGATAATGAAAAAGAAAAGAAAAAATTTACACGATTTTACCGGTGAAAGTTTTTTTTTTTCATTGTTATCATTTTATTCCAGACTGATTTGTAAAACGAAAGCGATACTGAAATTGTTACTGAACAAAAAAAAAAATGACGTAATTACTGGAGAAACGTTTAATAATAATAATAATAATATATTTTTTTTTCAAATCGTTTTTATAAATCAATTATACGATGGAAAAAAAAAGTAAAAAAAAACTTTCGTTTTATTGTTTTTTATATTGATAAGAATAAAAAAAAATTTTTCTTTTTAGAAAGAGAGAGAGATAGAGAGAGATAAAAGGTTTAACATCTGCCACGAACCTGATTTTCTCGTTTTATATATATAAGAAGGTACAAATTATAGAAATGCAAATTAACGACACCAAAGTTTATTTATTGGCATTAATAAAGACAATCCACCTGGAAATCTTTTTTTTTTTTTTATGTTTTTTTTTTAACATTCGATTAGGTTTATTGATTATGTTCTCACGGTTATGTTTTGTTATTATCACGTACCTGAAATTTACTTTGCAAATTTTTTTTTTTTGAATGTAGGAAGTGTGTGAAAAATTATTATTATTTTCGTTTTTCCAAAAATATAAAGAAAAAAATTTTTTTAAAAATCTAAATAACGATAGGAAAATTAGTTTGAAAAAATCTTATTTTTCAATGTAAAAAATAATCTTTTTTGTAAAAAGTGTAAGCAGAATAAATAAAAAACAAACTATCGTCGTGGTTTTAATTAAACGAATTTTTTTTTTGTTTTCCGAACGGGTCGTCGTTGTTACCTTTAATTAAAAAAAAAATCCTTTGGGTTTTTAATAATAAAAAAAAAACGTAACTCAGGTAAACCGAAATTCTTTTTTGTGGAATCGAAAAGGGATGGGAGCCCCCCTTTCCCCCCTCTCCTCTCCACCCCCTCTTAAATAAAAACATTTTTTTTTTTTGCCCTGGGAGGCCCTAATTTCATTTATTCAAACCAATAAAAAAAAAAAAGGAGACCGGTAGTCGTCGATTTGTTACTTTTTATTACTTCGGGTAAACAAACGAAAAAATAATATCGGAGTTAATAAATCAATAAGGCACAATTTGAACAAAACAACAACAACAACCACAACCACAATAACAACAACCAAATACCCTCGGGACGTTTCCCACAAAAAAAAAATTTTTTTGGTTTATCCTTTGTTTAAAACATTTTTTTTGTGCTTTACGCGGGGTTTTATATAAGAAAACGTTAATTAACGTGGCGTTTTATGTCTTTTTTTGTAAAGCAAAAAATAAACGACAGCAAAAATAATTTTATAGTAAATAAAAATTACCTTTATGTGAGTCATTCTGTGGTAATATAAATTAGAACTAGCGGTAAATCTTTTTCCGCAAACTTGACACTGATGAGGTTTTTCACCGCTGTGTATTCTTCGATGAGTGTTCAGACTGCTGGAAGTACTAAAACCTTTGTTGCAAACCATACAAACGTGAGGTTTTTCACCTTTAAAAGGAAAAAAAATGGCGTCAGGAAAATGGAAAAATTTCTTTAAAATTTCATAAAAATTTTCACCATACCTGTGTGCGTTCTCATGTGTCTTTTTAATAAACTCGGTCTATCGAAAGCTTTACCGCAAACTTCGCACGGTAGCAAATTCCTTTCACCTCTTTGACTTCTAATTTTTTGCTGTCTTCTCAATAGGATATCCGTCGTTCTAAAAACAGGGATTTGATTGAATCCCGTCGTAGGACCACGTGATGATTTCCAACCGTCAATGACGTTATTAAAATCGTTAAAAACGTCATGATTCGAATGTCTTAAATTGAGTGCTTCGTTTAAAACTTGAGAATGAGTGGAATGTTTTAAATTATCCAGTAAATCTCCAGAATTCGAAGACGTTTCCGAACTCGTTACCGGTGATTTACGTTCGTCTGCATCTCCACCGAGACTCGGTGGCGAACTCGATGTCGAACCTGGTGACGGTATCATAACTCTAGATAAAAGAGATGTTGAGAGATCTAATGGCGAGTCTGAAAATCGGGGGAAAAATTTTAACCGTTAAAAAAATTTTCTTTTTTTTTGAAAAAAACTGGAGAGGAAAATTTGGTGGATAAAACCTTCGAGTATGGTGTCCATAGTTCTTCTGTACAATGAATTTCTCAAATAATTAACGGCAGGCATGAAAAAAACTTCTTCTTGTCTCTCTGGGAAAAAAAATACCACCAATTCCGTATTTGCGGGTATATTTTTAACAACTTCGAAAATTGGTTCCCCTTTGACCCTTGAACCTATGACGTTGACCTCTTCCGAATAAGTTGATGACGTACGTAAAAATCTAATCCAATTGCAGTGACGTTCTTTGGTCCGGGAAATTTCATCGTACAAACCGAAACAATGTCGGATCTGTAATGGGAAAACAAAAGAAAAAAAATTTTTCATAGAACTATAAATTTCTATATTTCTCTATGACACCACGTGACTTTTTTAAGTTTATACGATTATTTTATAGCGACAAAACTATAGCGTTAAACTATAAACTATTTGCGTATTAGTTTTACACATGACTAACCACCCACATTTCATAATAAATTTTCCTAGTTTTTTTTTATTAAATCGAACGCCATTTTCTCTCTCTCTCTCTCTCTCTCTCTCAATATTGCTACAAGTAACTCGCGTTTTTTTTAAAAAAATTATCCAGACGGTTTATTTTTATTTCGTTTTTATCCTCCGGGGAGGATTTAAATTTTGTGCATTTATTTTCAGGACCGCCTTCATTTTTCTAAATCTTTTCCCTATATCCACGTCATATGTAATTATTATAATTTTTTTTTTGTAATGACGACGACGTAAAATAATAATAATAATAATATTTTAAAAGGATATGAAACAAATGTGAACTCAATCACGCAATTAAAAAAAAAACAGGCAGTCAAACGCCATATTGGTTTTTTTTTTCTTTGTAACAAATTAAAAATATTTTTTTTTTATTTTGTTTAGTTGAAACGGTTGTTGTTGTTGTTGTTGCGTTTCATCCCGGTGGCTATCAAAACGTAATCGATAAAAAGATGATTGTGAAAAAAAGAGAAGAAGGAGTAGAGGATAATAGATGCGCACGATTTACGTGGCAGGTTTGTTAATTTCCAAAAAACCAACAGGGCCATTGTTTACAATTAGTTACGGTTACGGTTTGATACCGAATATAACAACCATTTCAAATCTCGCCATGTTGTTTTTGTTTATTCCAAAAAAAAAAAAAAAAAAAAAAAACAATTTTTTTTATCCTATTTTAATCAAGTTGGCAGTGCGTTAACAACACGTCGTCAACAAAACAAAACAAAACAAATTCTTATGTGGTCACGTGAACCTTTTTTTTTGGAAATATTAAAACGTATTGATCCGTTTCAGAATAAACCCTCCATAAATACCTCATCCGTACTGGAGAATATAATCCTAATCCTAATCCTATTTTTAATCCTAAAATCATAAAAATTCTAAAATTTTTCTGAACCTTTTCCGAAAATATCCTGGCCCGAAATCAACAATAAAAAAAAATTATAAATTAGCAGAAGACGTTTTAATGTCATGATGTCATCTTTAACGAAAAAAAAAATTTTATAAATAAATAAATAAATAATAATAATAATAATAATAATAATAATAATAATATTAATTAAATCTCTCGAAGCGGTAGCTGTTTTACCTGTTAACCCGTTAATTTATTTTAAAAAATTATTATCATCATCATCATCATCATTATTATTATTATTATTATTATTATTATTATTATTATTATTATTATTTTTAGTGATAAATTTAAATAAATAATTTTTTATTAACGATTTATTTATTTATTTATTTATTATTAATAATTTTAAACGCGAAAATAAATTAAATGGGAAAGGGAGGGATGTGGGGTTTCGTTGGAGGACGAAGAGGTTGCGAACCCTTTTTGAAATTTGTGTGGGGGAAGGGGAGGGGGGAGGGAAAGAAGTGGTAGGAAATCATTAAAATTTTATTTTTAATAAAATGTAAATTTTTTTTTTTTTTTTTTGAATGAAATATAATAATTCTTTCGATGGCCCCCGAGGAAAATTTTTAATGGGGGGGAGAGGTGAAAGGTACGTTAATATGAAAAGAATGTTTTAATTTTCAGGTAAGGTACGTGTACGTCATGTACCCATCCACATTTTTGGGTAAAAATTACGAGCGAGTTTTTTAAAGGTTCATTCATTTTTAAATTTAAAATTTACTCTCATCCAATTAAAAAGAAAGGTTTTTTATAAGAAAAAGTAGGTACGTAATTTTCTTTATACGCCACTGAATGGATAGAAATAAAGGCAGCACAAAGCACTTTGAAAAAAGCTTTCCTTAAAAAAAAATAAATTAAAAGAAAGAAATAATATTTAATGTTTAACTTATGAAAATGGTGGAAACGTATATAATCGTAAAATCAGGTTCATAATGGAAAGATAATTAGCGCTTAGGTTCGTACTTTTTCGTTTCTACTGCTTGAAGCCATTTAGTCGTTGTTCGTACATCGCCCATGTTTTTCTTCTTAGTCTAATAAATTATATACCTCCAGGTACTTTTTTTTTTTTTTTTTCTACCGATTCCGCGTGCTATCATCCGACTTTTTAAACTTGTTTTAACTGCTTTTTCATTAACTTTTCTCTATCTATCTCTATCTCTCTCTCTATCTCTTTCTCTCACTACCTTTTTTTTTTCTCTTCTTCGTTCATTTCATTTTTTAATGGTTTTTTTTTTTTTTTAAAAAAAAGTATACGTCGGTTTGAAAATACAAGTATTTTTCATCCAGTTTTTTTTTTTTTAATTTCATTCATAGCTACTGTTGAATGAACAACAAGTTCCTTTTTCAAATAATAAATTTCTTCCCCTCTCCCCCCTCCTCCCTTCCCCTCCTTTTCCCCTATCAGACGATTTTATTTTCGAACGTACGAACGTATGATATTTAAACGGTGGTTTTTTTTTTTATAAGGAAGATGTAGAAAGGAAAATGTAGAAAGGAAGATGAAGGGGAAAGGGAGGGAGGAAGGAGGGGGGGAAACTTGTAGATCAGATATCGGTTGTTGGTTGATCACGCATTAACTTGACTTCTGCTTTTAAAATTACCTGTCAATAAATCTCTTTCACCTGTCTTTAATTTTACGTAAGTAATTTAGTTTATAAAATTAGTCGAAAAAAAAAAAAAAAAAAAACGTTTTTGACGTTAGTTGTTGTTCTCGAACGTTTTCCCTTCTCCTCCCTCTTCTCTCCTCCCCCTTCCCCAATAAAATCAAATCATTCACATCAACAACAATTTTTTTAAAAAAAATTTCATTACGTCACAAACGGTTTTCCGAACGTTTCGTAAAAAAAAAAAAAATCAACAATAACAAATGGTCCAAAAATGTTTGTCTTTAACGAATTTGTCTTGTTTGTCTTTGTCGAATTTGATTGTTTTGTTTAATTGTTTATTACGATGTTGTTGTTTGTTGTTTATTATTACTCATGACGATACGAACAGAAGAAAATTTATTTAAAAAAACGGACGGAAATTGTTGTTGTTTTTTTTTTTTGGATTTGTTGGCAAAGTGTAGTGGCAGCATTGCATTAAATTATCAGACGGTGATCCAAACTGACGGATGTGATCCTTAAAAACTTGTTTTTTTTTATTTCTTTCGTGATATAAAACTATATATAATAAATACTTTGTTAAACAACAAAAAGTTAATAAATGAAAATAATAATTAGCCTGAGGAGTATCGGGTACTACTACCGAAATATCGTAAGTCACGCTCTACAAGAGCAAAAGAGTTTAGTCACGCGTATTTTAACCCAATACCTACCTACCTACCTACCTATCTAAACATAACATTTTTTTATTTTATTTCGAACAATACATTTAAATTTTTTTTATCTTCTTCCACTTTTTTTTTTTTTTACGTTGGATCTACAACCACGATGGCGAATAAAAATTTATTTGACGAAAATAAAAAATTTTTTTTTTTAGCTTGACGATGTCGTCGTCACTCGGATTTCGCAAAAAATTTTTTAATTAAAATCAAAATTATTATTATCATTATCATCATCATTATTATTATTATTACGAAAAGTATTAAAATAATTTTTAATTCAATCACAAAAATTCGTTTCCTCTTTTTAAAAAATAACCATAATAATAAAGTCTTATGAGTTTTTTTTTATAAAATTGCCACGCGGTTGTTTGTCGCGTACAAACATAAACAAAAAAGCAGACGACGGGACCGACGACGGGGCCGACGACGACGACGACGACGTGGATGACGAATTTATAAAAAAAAAAAAAACACCCCGTAGCGTGTAACGCGTGAATAATTTAAAATTTTACCTTATCGATCTAATACTATGTATAATATATACACACACGAAAATAAAAAATCGATTATTAATCGATCCATCGATCGATCGATCGATCGATGGATAGCGCTTCTTTAATTTTGCGTGCCAACATTATTGATTATATATATATACTTTTTAAAATACGGATGATGATTTTTTTTTTTATATATCGCGTGCAGGTAACGATCGATCTATCGATTTAAAAAAAAAACAAATTATTATTATTATTTTTTTTTTCCGATTCCATTCGTTTCCATTGATTTTATTTATTATCATTATTATCATTATTATTTAAAATAAAATTTATTTTGCATGATTTTTGGGGTTTTTTTTTATTTCTGCCACGATCGTTGTGTCTAAAGGTACGAAAAACGTTTTTTACGATGAACAATACCTTTAAATAATCTGCCATATTTTTTTTTGCATCTTATCACATCGACGCCTTATCGTTTGTTTGTTTGTTTAACTCATCTCTCACGAACTTTATTATCGTTTGTTTCAACAAATTGTTTGTACGAATACAATCATAAACAATCATCATCGTCATCTCCAAATCTCCACTTCGGAATTTTTTCTTATTATCCATTTATTCGCTTTGTTAATCGAAAAATAATCAAAATATTATCATTATTATTATCATTATTTAACGCGCGTAATTCACGTACGTAATCACGTTTAATAACATTATTAATAAATAAATAATAATTGTAATAAAAACGCGTGCGTAATCGTCGTCGCATTTCATCCGTTTAACATTTAAAAACTATTTCATGGTTTGCGGAGTAAAAAAATTGTTTTTATCGTTTGTTTGTTCGTTTGTATGTTTGTTTGTTATGGTAGAGCGACGACCGAAACCATCGGTTTATTATGTTAAATCAACCTAACCGCAAAACACTTTTTTTTATGTTTGTTTATTTACCACCCAAAATACTCAATTAGTGTAAGTGTTAATAAAAATTTTTTTGTTTGTTTCGGATCGATATAATCATTGTCGCGCGCTATCATCATCATTATTATCATCATTCATTGATAAAAATTTTTTTCGTAGGAAAGATTGCGTT